TATTTTTTGGGGTATTTAGTGTCCTTTGATTACTGTTCTCTATCTGCATGCATACAGGTGAAATTCCAAAGCTTGGTCAAATGAACTTGACCAAGCTTTCATATTTGGACTTAGCAGATAATATGTTGAGCGGTAAGACACATCATTATCACGTTATTTTCGGGGGGTATTTAGTGTCCTTTGATTACCGTTCTCTATCTGCATGCCAGGCAAAATTTCAAATCTTGGTCAAATGAAGTTGACCAAGCTTTCATATTTGGACTTATCATATAATAGGCTCAGCGGTAAGACAACCCCCCTCACCCACCCACCCCCGGCATATTACATCATTATCACGTTTTTGGGGGTATTTATTGTCCTTTGAGTACTGTTCTCTATCTGCATGCAGGCGAAATCCCAAAGGCTTTGTTCGCTCTTCCATCACTGGAGGCCCTAATGCTATCATCAAATGAACTTTGTGGAACTCTAAAAGACATTCCAAACCCCTTATCTTCCATCATGTACTCCATCGACCTAAGCAATAACAGCCTTGCAGGTCATATACCCAAATCTTTCTTTGATGTTACGAGACTTCAACAACTCAAGCTTGACTCGAATCACTTCCAAGGCACAGTAGAACTTAGCCTTCTTTGGAAGCTCAGGAGCCTTTATTCATTGATGTTCTCCAATAATATGGTATCAGTGAAAGATGTTGAGGATGACTATCCATTCCCTTACATCGGTAACATCAGAGAACTAGGACTAGCATCTTGCAACCTTACAAAAATTCCAGTTGCATTGAGGTATACAAATGAGTTGTCTTCCTTGGACCTCTCAAACAACCGAATAGATGGAGTCATACCAAGTTGGATATGGATGATTTGGAAGGATAGTATATACTCGTTGGACCTCTCAAACAATATGTTCACTTGCCTTGAAAACTCCCCTTCTATTGTTCATATGCACAATTTAGAATATCTCAACCTTAGTTCCAACCAACTGCATGGCAGTGTGCCCACACCACTCACAGCTAGAAAGTCCGGGGCTATCTTAGATTACTCAAACAATAGCTTCTCTTCTATTATACCCGACTTTGGTAGGTATCTTCCCAACAATACCCTTTACCTTGATATGTCCAGGAATAAATTAAGTGGTCACATACCAAGATCTATCTGTACCCAACATGATCTTGATATACTGGACCTATCATACAACAATTTCAGCGGTGTGGTACCATCTTGTCTAATGCAAGGTTACAATAGCTTGAGTACGTTGAAGTTGAGAGAGAATCATTTCCATGGGATACTGCCTGAAAATATTATAGAAGGATGTATGCTTCAGACAATAGATTTGAACAACAATCTAATTGAAGGGGAAATACCCAGATCACTATCAAATTGCCAAGGCCTAGAGCTCCTTGATGCTGGTAACAACCAAATTGTCGGTTCTTTTCCATCTTGGTTGGGTATTCTTCCACATCTTCGAGTTCTTGTCTTGAGATCCAACCAACTAAACGGCGCCATAAGGGATATTAAACGTGATCATACAATCAACAACTACTTTGCAAGTTTGCAAATACTTGATTTGGCCTCCAACAACTTTTCTGGAAACCTACCAAAAGGATGGTTTAATGAACTCAAAGCAATGATGGAAAATGTCAGTGATAAGGGACAAGTTCTAGGACATGAGACATATTTAGGTGCACGATTTTATCAAGACACGGTTACCATAACATTCAAAGGTTCTGATCTTAGTTTCACCAAAATCCTAAGCACTTTCAATGCAATAGATTTCTCAAATAACTCATTTGATGGTCCTATTCCGGAGTCAATTGGGAGGCTTGTTTCCCTGCGCGGACTTAACATGTCATACAACAACTTCATGGGACAAATTCCATTTCAGTACAGAAACTTGTCTCAGCTGGAAGCAATGGATCTCTCTTGGAACCAGATAACAGGGGAAATACCGCAGGAGTTAACCTCACTTACTTCTCTTGAATGGTTGAATCTTTCATACAATAACTTGTATGGAAGAATCCCGCAAGGAAACCAGTTCTCAACATTTTCAGACAGTTCATTTGAAGGTAATGCAGGCCTCTGTGGAGTTCCACTCTCCAAACACTGTGACAATCAAAGTTCAATTTCTCCAACTGGAGTGGCTCTTCCGGAATCTGAGGGTTTGTGGCAGGACAAACTCGGCGTTATCCTTTTGTTCGCATTTGTTGGCTTGGGATTTGGAGTCGGCTTTGCATTGTCATTCTTGTTGCGACTGTATTGCCGCGTGGAAGGATGGATCTCCAAGCAAGCATGAATCCATATGTAATAATAGAGCACTTTTACTATGTACTGTATTCAATTTTCTTCCTGAAAAAACATATGCCGTTTGCATATAGGTTGTACTTTTTTTGAGGATGCATATGGGTTGTACTTGTTAGATGAGACAGCTTAAATAAGCCACTTTTCTGTGGCAGAAGTTACTTGCCTGCTTCCTTTCGTTGGATTGGATTGCCAGCACTGATCAACCTTATGGTGTATACAATTATTACACATAATATGCAGTGTGTTAATTATTTTCCTAAAAATAAGATATGCCGAATGTTTATGTGCTACACACTTGTCAGATGGGAGTATATAATGAATCCATTTTCTTTGGAGATACTAGTATTTATCTGGTCTGTTTCACACACGATGCTCAAATATGTCAGTTAGTGCCATCAACTAAACAAATGGAACGGCCGGTTTGTTTTAGCGACTTGAACTCAGACTCTGATGTTTTCTCTACCTGAAGAGATACCCGGGCTAAAACAGAAACACACATAGCGTCGGCAATACAGCTAACAAGCTGACTGCAGCAATCTGAACTAAAATTATGGTAGAACGAGCATTCATATTGAAATTCCACAAGCCAAAAAGGTTCATATATGAAAATGGTTCAGAACTAAATGCAACATTTTTTAAAACGTAATGCAGATTAATGATATTGCATCTCGGCAAGGTTATACCCCTGTAATATTTTTTTATCAGAGACGAACATGAATATGTATTCGTGACTTATAACAGCATGATTGCATGTGTACATTATAATTAGTAAGAATTTTTTTTTCTTCACCAACTTTATCCCCTCAACTCATGCATCACTAATACACGCTATATTTTGGGAGTATGATGAAAGAATTTATTTTTGGTGCTCAACAGCCCATGCTCTATAATGAGACAAGTACCGCTGTTAATACATAAATCTGTTAGTTACTACCAATAATCCTTGCACGAACAGGTGCCATTTTTATACAAATGGAAACGTGTTCGATCTCTAACAATAATTTCTCTAATACCATATATGTACATTGTAATTAGCAAGATTTTTTTTTTTTGTTCACCAACCTTATTGCCTCAACTCATGCATTGCTGATGTATCGTGAAAGAGATTTTTTTTTTCTGCTCAACAGCCCATGCTCTACCCACACCACTGCCGACGGCGGCAATGGAACCGCAACCCAGTGCCTCCCTGGCCATGCTTCGTCTCTGCTCCAGCTGAAGCATTCCTTCCACGACCCCAACCTCTCATCGTGGCAGCATGGCACAGACTGTTGCTACTGGGAGGGCGTTGGCTGCGACAGGGCCTCTGGTCAGGTGATCACTTTGGACCTCGGTGATCGTAACCTGCAGAGCACCAGTGGTCTCAGCCCAGCACTATTCAACCTCACCTCTCTCACAAACCTCAGCCTCTCTGGTAACGACTTTGGTATGACCAACCTTCCTGGTTTTGGGTTTGAGCTGCTGACCAAGTTCCTCAGTCTCAATTTGTCTAATACGGGATTGTTTGGTCAGATACCCATTGGAATTTCCCACCTCAAGAATTTGCGTTCGCTTGATCTTTCCTATAATACTGATTTGCATCTTCAAGACCCAAGTTTCCAAACCCTCGTAGCAAACCTGAGCAATCTGAGAGAGCTTTATCTTGATAGAGTGAGCATCTTAAGTGGCGAAGCAAATTGGTCCGTTGCTTTAGCAGACTCTGTTCCGCTACTACAGAATATTAGTTTGTCTACGTGTGAACTAGGTAGTCCGATCCACCATTCATTCTCCCAACTCCGTTTTCTAACAACGATCAACCTCGCAGATAATGAAATTTCTGGTCAGGTTCCTGGGTTCTTTGCAAAATTCTCTTTCTTACCGAAAAAGGGTTTCCCCCCGCTTTATAAATAAAGCACCAACACTTACATCCAAGTAACCGATACAAACGCACGCCACACAACCCAAGGCAAGAAACAAGAATGCCGGGCACCGACACACAACTTCAACGACTACCACAAGATGAGAGATCATCCGGGAAGAAGTGCAACGGACCACGCCGGACCGAGGGTTCCAAGACGATGCCTCCAAGAAGGGCACGACCACGGACCGTCGCCATCGTCCGATCCAAAGATCAGGTTTTCACCCGGAACACGACGGGAGGAGTGAGAGCACCACGACGGAGCCTACAGGGAGGAACACGACATCCGCGGACGCCGCCACCGTCGACCCGTGTACGGACAGGTAAGTGATGAACCCCGGTGCTCCACCCTTCCACTGCATCCCCGGTCGGCTAACCACCTGCAACCATGCCACCCAAGCGGCCGTGGTTGCACGCCCGCATCCGAGTCGCGCAGTCCGCCTACGACCGACGTGACTCCCACCGCCAGGGCCGCCGCCCCGCCACCGGACCACCTCGAGAAGCCCCAAAGGTCACGTCTTGGACAAGATCCATGAGCCCAACCACCTCAGAACCGCCGGCGACCACAGCCTCAAGGGGAACCGAGCCCAGATGGCCGGGGGAAGGGGGAGGAGGAGGAGCCCCCGAGGCCGAATGCCCAGATCCGCAAGAGAGCGCCGGCCACCGCCCGCTGCCGAGGAGGAGGGCGCACGGAACCGCCGAGCTGCATCCATGAGAGGCCACCGGGGAGGCCTTCCCGCGCCGAGCGCCGCCGTCCAGCCGCAGGGGCCCGGCTGGACAAGGGCCGCCCACCTCCACCGCTGCCGCGCCGCCCCGCCACCTGAGATCCACGGCGAGAAGGGCCGCCCGCGACCCGGTCGCCCGTGACCCGCAGCG